ACTGAACAATAAGCTTTTTGACCTTTAGGAGAGCCCACTTACTTAGTTTGTGATGGTACCGGATTTTTTTGAGAACATCTGTTTATCTGTAATCTGTCAGAACTTTGGTACTAGCTATGTATTGCTCACAAACATACCTAATTCAGACACAGAAGTACTTTTGTTGAGGCAGGGTTCTCTTTTTGAAATGTAGAATGTTATGAAGTTGTCTGCAAATTTGTCAAAAACAAAATGAAGATTTTTTTAAAAAAACAACACTTTTGAGCCCAAAAACAAGGAAAGAAAAGACTTAAGGAGAAATAGAAATAGTAAATGTTTCAAGGTAAAGTCTATTTCTCATTTAGTAATCAGAAAAATAGCACCATTTGGGGGGGGTGTGTGGAGGAGCTAGGTTTCTTTAGTTGCTCTTTTCTTTTCCAAAAGTGGCAGTGACTCTTGAAATAATAACATACTGCTGTACACAGATGAAGGTTGAGTTTCAGTTCTCGTTCATGCTTGTCATCTGATGAAATTTTCGAGAGTTCACAGCCATTTTTCTTGCACCTTACCCTATCAGTAGTAATAGAAATGCTGGACAGTCAATTTTTTTACTAACCTTTATTCACTTTACAACTTAATGCTGCTTACACTTGTACTCTTTTGTGTCCTGCTGTGTCAAGAACATCTGTAGATTTAAGCACATAAGTAGATAATTGATTTCAGAAAGTGTACATTTGTTCAGAAAAACTTGATTACAAAAAAACTTTTTGTTTTCTTTCTAGCTCTACTTCATAAGATAAATCAGACAAGACTTTGATTAAGGTGTTTTCACTAGTAATTGCCACATGCGTGTCATACTGATGACCTGTAAGAATGAAGAAAAATTGCATGGGAAATTTGTGGATAAAGGAAATGAAGAAAAGTTCAGATGTATTTCATGCCTCATTACAATAATCCTTACTCATCTTCTACCATGTGTCCCTCTGGATCTGTGCCCACCTTTCTCTTACTATTTGCATAATTTGCTGCTTAACGTTTTGCTATCATAGTTTCAAATCCATTATGTTACTACCTTTTGCTGTCTGATTTGGCAGCCAAATACATGTATTGATTCTGCATATTCTCTTCGAGAATAAACACCTTTAATATCTGCTCTGCAGCAATGCTGTGCCGGATGAAACCTATAGAAAGCCTCTTAACATCTTTATCTATACAAGGCAAATAACAAGAAAATGGATCTCCAAGTACGTCCTTCCAGTTGCAGTGTATGTTTATGCACATGTTTGCACACACAAACCTGTATTTAAACTCTCTTAATTAAGACATGTTTCATGATCTTTACTGTAAAAAGAAATGTGTTTACAAGTATCTGATATGACTATTCAGACTCCTATGTTGTATCAGTGTCTCGGGTCAGGCTGAGATTTTTTTCTTCCTTTTCCACTAAAATCATTGAAATATATTCAGTCAGTCTTTCACATCAGAGGTGTAAATGGATTTCTTGAAAGTTTTTCTGCTGATAGCAAATGGCAGTCACTTTACAACTTTGACTCCATTGTGAGTAGCAGTCAGAAAGCTTAACACTCCACCCGAACTTTGAAGATGCTAAAACTGTGTAATGACCTTGCATTCTCAAGGGCAGATGCTCAGCTTCTGCTGGAAGTGCTAATCTACAATCTGTTTATCTCCGTACACTGTGTATTTGACAGCACTTGCCTAGAAAGCAAGGCAGGGAAAAGTGTAGTCAAATTTAGTTGCTTTTTCCTCTCTGATGGTGTTAGTGTACAATAGACTTAGAAATGATAGTCTGTGTTTTAACTTTTAGCTTCCTTTGTGCTTTTCAGCTTGTAGCCTTAAGCAAGCAGCCACACTGCCAGTGTCAGTATATGCTCATCTTCGTGAAGCCTCTGCTAATGTGTGAGCTGGACGGTGTACAGTAACTGTTTTCTTCTACCTTTTCTTTATTCTGAGTGAATCAGATTTTGGGTTTGCCTTCAAAATCTAAATCGTTGTCTGTATTTTCTATCAGTAGGTTTTAGACTCAGCGTGCTCTATATATTTTTCTTTAGTGGGTATGAATTGAGATGCATCACATAATGCTTATGAGCATATTGAGGAGCACATTTCTAATGAAGAGGTAATGTGTTGAAGCAAGGCAGCGTGTGCAGGGAAAGGCAGTACATTTTGTTAGACAGGTATACTTTACTCATGTAAACCTTTCTTCAAATCTGGAACAGCAACCTGAAGACAAGGGCTTTTGCACATAAAAGCACGTCAGTGTTTTCAGGTAACACATAAATGGGCTTTAAGTGCCCCAAGTTTGTTCATTACCAACTCCATCAGTCAGTCTAGTAACAGAGGTTCTCTCCCCTAACAAATCTTGCCTCCCTTGCACCCGTAAACCATCACAGTCACTGCAGCACTACTGACTGAAAAAAACCCCTTGGTTTTAATGTAATCCGTGTGGTTTTTCAAACTGGCGCTGCTTATCAAAATAAAACATTAACATCAAATTACTCTGATTCGGCAGCAGCATCTATTTCTTAATATGAACTTGTCTGTTCTGTCAGGTAATTGTTTAGCTTCCTAGGGAATTGCGTATGTGTTACAAATGGGAAAATTCAACCTTGTGAATCCTTTCTGTGGTGAGGCAACAGGCAATTTGCTTCTGATTATTAAGATCACAGAGTTTAACAGCAAAATTTTGTAAAGAATTGCTAAAATTGACCTTTTGAATGCTAGGTTTTCAACAAGCTCAGTCAGGGATCTATTTATGATGTATACCTGGATTCTCTTCCTCTCAGCTTACAGAATTATGAAGAAGAGTTACTGTCACAGAGGTGACGTTTCTTTTTGTGACATATGCTTTGAATTAGCAGTGGCTGTTGCCAATTGTGTTAATATCACCAAGCTTCTAAAGCAAATGTATACCAGGTCCCAGGTCCCATCTTAAAGAGGAAGGACACCATCTTTATTTATCAACAAGATAAACGGGAAGGTTGTTTTGGTTTGTTTTTTTTTACCTTTGGATTTTTTGTAATATATAGAAGTGCGGTGAAATGTACTGAGGCATGAAGCATGTGAGAAATGACTAATGGTGCTGAATCGATGAGTTCCTTCAGATTTGTACAGGATGCTTTTGGCGTATCACCTCCCGCTCCATCCACGCTCTGCTCATGCGAAGGTCTGAAGGTGGAACCCTGCTGCAGTGGTGTTCTGCCGTCACAAATTTGCAGGATGCTTAGGGAATATTCAGGCACTTGGTAGTATTTGAGATGTGCAGTGTAGTCATCAGTGGGGAAAGGAGAAGGAGGGGAAAATCTGGCTCACATATTCTTAGTTCATAAAAGCTGGAGTTTGGTCATTCTGATGAGGTGGCTGTTTCATCTACATTATACAGATCTTGCTGTCAGCTGTCCATTCTAAGTGTTATAGATGCTACGGTGTGCAAGTGTCAGTTCAGCTCTTAGTGCCTCCTTCCTTTCTCAACCTTTGCTTCTTCCTCTACAGCTGATAAACTTAAACACTTATATTTCTTCATAACTATTATCTTCATTTTCGTTCAGGCCTCCCTGTAAACTGGGAGTGACTCCCTGAAGCAATTCTTATTACTTCTACTTCTTCTCTTTATAGTATTTTATGTTCTATCTTAGCTGTGACATTTGCAAAAAGATAAATTATTATGGATAGCTAGGCTGTGGGGCAGTCAGATATGGCATATATTATTTATTTCAAAATACGGTTTTAAATTCTGCAGAGCCTTTTAGTTGCACAGCTGAACTGTTGCCTGCTTGATCCTTCTTGTCTGCTATCATTTGTGGCATTTACTTTCTGCATTTCCCTGTGCCTAGTGGACCATCTGGATCCAAGATGTTTTGTGGACCCAGAAAGCAAATACCAAATTAGTTGTATAAGGTTTTTCTTTATATTAGCTTCTGAAAGATTGAAGTAAAGCTGTGTTACTCAAGATTAAATGAAAAGCAGGGGATAATGGTTTTTTGTTCAGTGGTTTTTCACTTGAGCTAAAAACAAACAGAAAATAAGCATCCTTTTAGATGGATATGAACAAGTTTTGGACTTTTGTGCTTTAAACAATAGAGTTTGTGAATAGCTGAAAGACTAGTTGTTCTTGAGACCTATCTGGATGAAGAACAGTCTTGGCTTAGAGAAGTTGTGAGCAGGCTTTGTGAATGAGCATGCATTAAATGATAGGATTATTTTACTGAGCAATAATAAAATAGTGAGGTCAGATGGAAGGATGATGGGGAATTGCTGTTTGCAGCTGTGAAACTGATGCATGTCATGTTAACTCCCAACCCAAACAACTCATTTTAAGATTTGCTCTCAAGAAACTTAAAATCCTCTATTTTGTCCAGTCATCAGCTTTAAACTGTTCCTTGTCAGCAAAGACAGCAAAGCTTTTTGCTTGGCTCTGCCTGGGGGATGTGGAAAGCTGAGGTGGTCCTGTGTGATTAAATTAGGTGAAAGACTTGCCTTCTACCAGTGGGATGTGAAGTCTAATCAAGTGAAACGAATTTTGAGATCTTGGCTCATTTCCTTGGGGAATATCGGTTCACATTACACAGTCATGGCACCTAATTCATCACCGTTGATGTGGCGTTTGCGCAGAAGAGGACCTGGGACTGGGTAGCGTGGGACTTGATCCCAAGTCTGCCCCTAAGGAGGAGCAGCTTAGTGAAGTTAAGATGCAGCACAATGAGGGGAGAGCTTTAATATTTTTTTTTTAAATAAATGATCTATATTTCTGTATAGATCTTTTAGAACAGAAGTGCTTGGATGCAAAATAGGGAAAGCTAGAGATTAAAAAAGATAGTACTAAGTATAGTTCACAAAATGATCTGGGTACAGATATTAAAGAGCATACACAGTGAAAAGCAAAGTTGAACTGTTATCTAATTTTTGTGATGTTGAACGAGGTTTGTGTATTTCCATACACTAAGGTACAAGGAAGTAAATACTATTCTGCTTCCCTAACAGACATGTTTGTTTGTTTCTTCCAGGGCATTGTTATAACTCCACTTCTGCTTCTGCTTTTTGTAAGTATCTTGGTGTTAAGATGCCTTTTTACTGGGTAATTTTGCACCTATTAGGCAGTATATTTAAGATACAGATTTGTGCAATTTAATAACGCTTATATAATAAGGAAGATTTTTCTGATCATTTGAAATAAGCTGCCTCCCAGAAAGGCCATCAGTGTGTCACGATAAAAGCAAACCCTACCTGCACTTTATTCTAAGAGGACGGAACCCCATTGTTCTTGCAGAATTATAAACCCATATGCTATTAGTCAGGCTCAGTAAAATACAAACTCTTGCCAAGTAAGAGGATCACTCAGTTAGGAGATCTCTTGGAGAGCTTTCACATGCAGGAGCTGGACAAGATTGTACTGATCCAAAATGGGTGACAGGCTGTCCTGGGTTCGGCCAGGACAGGGTTAATTTTCACCGGAATCCAGGAAGGGGCACAGCCAGGCGGGCTGACCCCATCTGGCCAAACAGAACAGGGTATTCCACACCACGTGATGTCATGCTGGGTTCCGGGGCGGGGAGCGGGGTGGGGGGAACTCACTTGCGGCTCGGGAGTGCGCGGCGGTGGCGGTTCGGGAGAGCAGCTCTGTTGTGTGGTCTGTTTTGTTTTGTGTATTCCCCTTATCCGTATCGTTGTTGTTCCTGTTCCCTTTGTTTGCTGTTGTGTTAAACTGCCCTTATCCCGACCCCCCAGTTTCTGCCTGTTTCTTTCCATTCTCCTCCGCACCCCGGTGGGGGGAGGGGCGGCCGCGTGGCGCT